TTCCACCTTCTTACTTGAATAATAAGAAGAAAGGAAAGAAACAAAAATTAAGAAGGAAAGAAGATGATGAGCCAGGGGCTAGCAGGATGAAGTTAAAACGGAAACAAAAATCAGTTGATTGTAGAAAATGTGGTAAACCTGGCCACAACAGTAGAACTTGCAGTTTCTCCTCAGATGACATTGAAATTCATCCGTCGGACTACCTTTGTAGTTTGGACTCCATCATGGTCGAGGAAGCATCAAGTTGCCAAAATGTTGAAAAGCTACCTGTAAGAATATTCAAATATTCATATTTAAGTTATTTTTATTGTAGCTTACTTGTATAACTATTCATATTTAATATTTTAATTTCTTATTTCAGGTTAGAAGAGGTACATCTCAAGCCAGCCAACAACGTCAGAGCTTTCCATTTTCTCTATGAAGTTGCAATATTGAAGAAAATACATTTTTAGTTTTGAATCTTTTTTTTGGATATTTGATGTATCAAACTAATGATATGTGACTAGTTTTTGTTGTTCATTTGTTATGTTCTTGTGCATGGAACTATGAAAAATGTTTTAGCTTTATGATGGTTTAATGACACTAGACTTTGCTGTTTTTTGCTTATTTTGTGGTGTCTTTGTTGTTACATTAACTTTCTGTTTTACTAAAATCATGAGTTTTTTTTCTTCTTTTTAGTTTTCTTACTTCTTTTGGGCATTTTTTTGCTGTTTTGCTGCTGGTTTACCAGTTTTTTTGTTGTTTTTCTGCAATTTTGCAGGTCTATGTTTTTGTAAAACTATTTTATTGCTTTTTTCTTTTTTGCTTGTTTAGTGGTTATTTGGTAGTTTAAAGTGGAGTGCTCAAGATGTGAAAGGAAAAAACGATTAGACTATACCAAATGCTTTTTATTGAACTTGAAGACAGATGATGGGACAGATTTGAGAGGGGTAAAATAGGGATATGGGAGAGAGAAAATCACTTTTTGAAAAAGCAATGCTAGTTTTTTTAACTCAAATAGACAGAAGACTAACTTTTGTTATATTTAAATACTAAAAGGATGGTTCTTGTTAACTATTATAGTACAAGGATGTAACATAAGCTTTAGTCATAGTTAAGGGATGAATTTAGCCCAAGGTAAAAAAGAAACGATTTTATTGTTTGATTGTGTTGGTTAATTTGAACCTAATTTGAAATGGATTTTTGTATTAGATTGGATCATGAAAGGGTCTATCCATTTGGTTTGGGTCAAAATTTGGTGTTGCAATTATAAAGCTTGTATATTTAGTAACAATAAACATTAGGAGGCATTTTGACCCTTTTCCAAAATATATACGATAGTCATTTAATCCTACTCAATCTTCAAAATTTCAATATTTACTCATTTGTCATTATTGCTGCTTCTTAGTTCTTTTACCCATAACAAATATCAAAATAAATATTTCTTGTTCCCATTTTACTAAATTGTCACACTACTGCTGCATATCTACTTACTTCATGCTGATGGCACGTTTTCTAATCGGACCACCAGCCTGCAACCAATTCACACACAATAGAGCAATACTTGGATATCGATACATAGCAGCAGCTTTGAATCATGTTCCAGAATTTAGACGGGGCAAGGGGAAAAAAAGAAGTAGCTCAGCTTGAAAAGACTAATACTAGAGAGCCATTACAAAAGTTTTGAGTACTAGGGAATTAGGTACAAACTCCGATATCTTAATGTAGTTGATACTCAGAACATCGAGGATGCCATTTCACCAACTTCTGATACAACTTGATCGTAATCTGTTTTCAGTTTCTCTTGATCATCCTGGCTAAGTTCTCCCTTGGCAGGCTTTGTTTGCACCAAAACACAGCATGTTGGTCTCTTCGTGGCTCCAGCATTTGCAAGATCCTGAAACAGAGTTGACGAGGTTTTACAATCATAACCACATAAAAACACCTAAAGTTTGTACCGATCATGGTGCATGACATACACAAAACAAAAGCAGAAAGCATGCATCACAGTGCCTACCTTTGTATAGAAATCACAACATGACTGACTGTTTCAAAGTCTAGCAACACCACAGCCTTATTATTGAGTTTAAATGGCCAACAAATCCTACTACTCTAGGAAAGAATGTACTACAAGTATAATGCTTCCCGACAAGAACTCGTGGAACCAGATGAGTTTACGATATAAAAGACGGGATATACAATCCTGATTTCTCTGACACAAGCACTATAATACAGGTTCAAAGCTCAAGGAAACTGCAAATAGTAACTAGCAAAAGAACTGGAAAGAAAATGTATTTAAAAGAATACAAATTTAACTTACTTCTTTCGAGGACACGTAGATATACGGTATTTCAGCTTCTTCACACAGGATTGGAACATGGGTGATGACATCAATAGGAGAAATATTTCCAGCTATAACACACACTCTGTGATCACAAAAAACAAATGGATGATGAGATATAGAAAATCCAAAATCCATAATCAACAACACATGATGTTCGTAAATTTTGTATGCAAATGACGAAGAGCAATGCTGCATAGCAACTGTGCAAGTGCAGTATCATGTATGAAAAGTGCAAGCAAAATTCAAATTACATTATTCAAATGAAAAATTTAATGCTGAGAAAAGTTTGCCTGCTGTTACAAGTTGTGATTAGACAATGTCGATATAAAAGCTGAATACACAGATTACCCTAACAATCCAACTCTTTTTATTCCAACCTAGGTCACTTTCAAATTTATGTTAACTCCCTACTGAAGTCTATTTCCCTCACTTATAGTAGCTCTGTTGTCTGGAAGTAGAGCACTGACAGGCAATTACATTATTTGGACATGAGAGAGGATCGAATAATTGCCTAGGATTAAAATAAGACTAAACCCTAACTGATTCCCATTCTTCTCCAATAAATATATGGTGGTGAACAACTTGAAGTTGTACAAATACCCGAATATATTTTCTAACAAAACATTTCCCATTCTCTACTAATATCTAGATTTGTATCTAGGATGGAGGGGGAATATAGTGTGACCAAGTCATACTATCTAAAAGCACTCAGACCATAAACACACGATGCATTAAGCCAGAAATAACCCCTTAAGCCATACATACAGATGTATATGTGTACTAACAATAAATAAGGGAGAAAAGTTGTTCGACTCCAATTTCACGGACCCTATAAGTGAGTAAGCTTGAACCGAGAGTCTTTCAAAAACCATCTCTCTAACTCAGCAGACCACACTTGTGGGATTACACTACATATATTGCATAAATGAGAGCATATAAGAAATCTAAAACAAAACCTTAAAGTCATTAAAATGGATCATAAAACTACAGATTAATTCCATAAAAATGGAATAAGCAGAAAATAATTTGACCTACCCTTTTTGACCTCGTCGAATACTCTTCACCACCTCTTTAACGCCCCTCTTCAAGCATTTTTTCTCAGCAGCTGAGATCAAAACAATAAAGTAAAAGTTCAATAAAATCACAATATTTCAAACATACACAGATACACAACTACTCTAAATATACCTCGCCTAACAAGTTTGAAGATGCGTTTGTTGAGTTTTTTTCCAGCAAGGGGTTTAGCAATAGGAGCTAAAGCAAACACCTTCTTCTTCTCCTTTTGTCCACTCTTCTCTACTTCGCTGTCGCTACCCATTTCTCCCTCCTCTTCTCGTACACCTCTCTGCTTTTTTTTTCCTTCCTTCTTCTCGAAAGAAAAGCAGCGACTAGGGTTTATGAGGAAGATGAATTTGGCTAATTGCTGCTAGGGTTTAAGCTCTATACTATAGGCCCTATTTAATTGGGCCGCTAATACATCCACTCAAAATAGCCCAAAACTATTTACACCTAAAACAATGGGAAAACTAAGGTCATGACCAATAAAAGTAATGAAAAATTATCTAAATACACAATTTATTTTATTATATTTTTTAAAATCTTCTATCATTTAAATTTTTTTAAAAAAAATTTCTACTCTCTCCTATTCTCGGATGCATCAGTTTACGTGATGTATGACTGAATACATCACTTTACCGCGATATATTGGTTTGGTACATTATTTTACATGATATATCAGGACTTTGAGTAATGTATTCGAAATTGAGACGCGATGTATCAGGACGTTGAGTAATGTATTCAAAATCAAGACGCGATGTATCAGGACGTTTTGGGATGTATTTGGATTCCATCAAATTAAAGAGATTTTTGTAATTTGGAAAAAGAGTAGAGATAAGATGAAATTAGATCTTAACACTATGAAATTTGTGTAAAATTCTCAAAAAGCAAACTAATTACAGACATATATCACCTTACAATTATGGCCCTAAAGGGTCGTTTGCTAGAGTGTATAAGAATAATGTTAAATAAAGTGTATTGATTATGCTTGCATTAATAATATATAGATTATTTCTTATGCGTTATTTGGTTTGGTGTATTAAAAATAGAATGCATTACATAAAAAAAAAAAATTACAAAGATATCCTCCAAAAGTAAGGTGGAAAAGATGTAAAAATAGTTTTGAGGGGCAATTAAGGTGGAAACGATGTAAAAAAGATTTCTGAGGGGTAATTCAGTCTTTAGCTATCTAATGCATGCATTAGCTTTCTTTTTCATTCATTTTTTCTCAAATCATAATTTCTTTATTTTTTCACCACAATTTAATTTCATGTTTTTGGTCATTCTATATTGTCACTGACTCAAAGTACACCCTAAACATGACATGTCGAATAGGATCTCGAGAGACCCTAAACAAGTCACTTGACATAAGCATGACGTAATGAAATACAATTTAAGAGATATAACTAATATATGTCTCAAATCATAAGATGATATAAAAGATACCAACAGAGTACATAAGAGACGTGCAAAGTATTATTAAGTCTGACACAAGCATTTCTAACATCATAAGAGTGGTTGAGACGTAAGTCGTACACCACGTACAAGTCTGAACTGAAAAGACAACCAAAGAACTAAAACATCAAAGGTATTGTTGTAACACCTTGAAAATTGAAAAGTCAGATTGGAAAGGAAAAGTTCATTTTTTGGCAAAGCAGTGGTGTACGAGTCCAACCTACGGACCGTAGAAAGTCTTACGCGCCGTAGGAAGGGAGTCATATGACTTGGTTTGAATTTCGAAAATGTCAAGTCTCTGATGTTTAACCTATGAGTGAACATGACGAGTCATAGGGTGTTTTATGGGCCATAAGAGGGTTTCGTAGAAGTGATCCAGACTTAGTGAAATTTTATACTTTTAAGTTAGGTTTTACGCAAGAGGTCTACGGACCGTAGAATGATTTTGTGGAAGTTGGCTTTATTTTTGGGTTGCAATAATTGGGTCTACGGTTGACCATTACGATCTATAGGAAGTCCTATGAATCGTAGGTCCAACTCGTAGAGTCTTCCTACAGATTATAATTAAGAGTGTTTTGGTATTTCCCTACCTAGCTAGAAAGGAAAATCAACAAAATCATATATGAACTATCCTAAGACTTACATCATTTAGTAATTGAGCATCTAATAAAAAATACGAGTACAA